CGATCTCTCCTTTCCAATTTTGAGCCGTGTCAGGCACGGACGTCTGCTAAAAGAGCACTTTTAACTGTTTTGTGATCTCATGGGCGAACGACTAGATTAGGAGTTCCAGAAGGCTTGCTGTCTTAAGTTCCGAACCTGATCCATGGTATTTGGACCAGTTCAGGAAAGCAAAATATTGTTGGAGCTTCAGCGGCGTTTATGTGCAGATTATGAAGATTTTTACTCAAAGCAACGCACTAGCTACTGTTAAAATGATGGTCATAGTGCATCGCTAGTTGCTTGTCTCATTGATGCTTGTTTTAAAACAAGCATGACATCGATATTCGGAGTAGGACTAGATTTACTATGTCAGATATCACCTCCGTCAGCAAAGAACGTGGCCAGCCACCCACCTTGAATCCAAGCAGGAGGACTGCTGGATGCATCTCCTGAACCTTGGTGTTGTGGTGAAGCGATTCGTGAAAATTTTGGATTAAGGTGGATCAGAACGAGTCGATGTCTAAGTGCGGTCGATGAACTACTGATCACGACGGACCAATCAACGACGGTGGGTCACCGATCAGCGATCAAGACCGAACAGCCGCGATCGACGATCAGCGCAGATGAGAGGTCCGAAGGTGATCGACAGTGGAACAAGGAGGGGCTCTATCTACGACGACGTAAGCCACGATTTGCGTTCAAGAAGCGCAAATCCCAGACGGAGAACCAACGACCACCTCTCTCCAATAGAGCGATCAAGGTGTAACTATGAGCGATCAAGGGAGCCCGATCGCGATCAACGTTCAGATTGGCGATCAGCGATCTACGTGAAGATCAGCGGTCTAGATGGTGATCGACAATCAACATGGAGATCGGTGATCAAGACGCAGATTGGCAATCAAGGGGTTGATCGGTCGTTCAAGCCGCAGATCGGCGATCAAGATGCAGATCGATGATCAAGACTAAGATCGGCGATCAAGTTGAAGCACACACTTCGCCCAGACGCCGACCAATGGAGGGGTTTCCCAACGATCTGTGATCAGCTGAACTTGGTTTCACCTTGCGTACCCGTCGGCGGGCAGGATCTGTTCTTTCGAGGCTCCGAAGGTGTTCGATACGTGTAGACTTTACCGTCCTGGCGGGACGCAGGATGTGTCAACCAATCCACCGATCAACCGATCAACCGATCAACCCCTTAATCGTCGATAACGACGATCAGCCTTAACTAGATTTTGGCACACTATACTATCGGCTACGGAACCAGTCTGAAAGACAACATACAAACAAGTGATGTATGGATAACGACAGCGGCTCCTGAAAGAAGGTAGTATCTATGGGAGATGCATTGGACAAGGGTGGGTCTGTCATTTAGAAGTTGTGAAACTTGAACAATCATTTCAAGTCTACCGAGCAGCTCAATGGCTTGAAAATGATTCAGAATGCCCTATCCTA